TAGTACTTGTTTTTCTGCCAGGGAGTCCTGAATAATGTAAACATATGATGATGAAGATAGTGAGGAGAGACGTGAGTCACTAGACTCTTATGTGCCTGAAGGAATACTTCATAAACAGCTCATAAATCCACCTGTAACCATGCAGATTCCTAGTTGGATCATAGGCCAAAGGAAGAATGGAAGTTGATTGCCACCATGTGGTTAAGTGATGCAATCACACTGAGTAAGCTGGAAAACTCAGTTTTGTGTGAAGGCTCTTCACACTATAATTGTATTTTATTGAGTCATTGTGAAATCATGGGAAAAATAAGGGAATAAAATGTTCGCGAGACCTTTATAGAATATACACATCTGTGACTAACTGTGCTAATGAGACATAACTACCAACTCCTTTAACTGCTTTCTCCCTCAACCATTACATCACAATATTATAGTATATTATTTATTTGGACAAGAATATGACATTTGATGGAATGATATCACATTGACAATTGTATAACTGAACTCTGTAAGGAAATGGTGGAAACAGATGTGCCATAGTCATTTTAAAAAGGTGTATCTTGAAGATGATGCCAAGTTTCGATGTTTTCACTTTACATAGATATTGGGTTGCTGATAACGATATATTGATCCTGATTGGTAGGTTGTTATTTATCTAGCCATTAGAGTCTTAAACTCCATTTAATATTTACCATATACACTCCCACTCGCTTGCACTACAGAATACATGTTTCAAATATTTCTTATTCCACGTCTTATTATTGTAAACACAGTTTCATTTGTATGTGTTTTGAATGACGACAAAGTGTGCCTTGTAAATGTAACCCGAGGCTGTTTAAACTCAAGCTTGCCTTCATTTTTTTGCCAGGGAATTCCTCACACGGCAACAGATTAACTCACTAAGAGTTTGTTGGTATGTTTGTTAAATTATAAAAGAAACACGGTGTTGTAACGATCTCTCAGCTGCAGCAGAAGAAGGTTACATCAGACACATTTAACAATAAAATCAATCTATACCAGCATCATCTGTACTAGAGAGTATAAGCCACATCCTCTTGGGATTTCAGGCACACCGCTCAATGCAATGACCGTGTTTTACATCGGCAATCTGTTACAGTGGGATCTCCCCTGCTTCAATCCCATGGATGATTAAGCGTGATAATTAAGGTTTTTGGACATTTTCCACAGAGGAGCAGACGTGGCAGCTGGTGACATTCATGCATTCCCAAACACAGAGGAGGGAATTACAATGAGGCCTCCATTCATTTCAGTGATCACAAAGTCTGGGCTTGGCACCAGTTCAAAAGCAGTCAAGCTGTTGTTGAAAAGGACTATTTGTGGCACGCTTTGTAGGCAATGTACCTTGATCTATTTGGGGAGTTATAAAAGCCATAGAAAGTAGCCAAATATTTGTTTTTTCCAGCAGGGATTTTCACCTTCAATTGCCAAGGAAAGACACCATGGAAATCAAATTACTTGTTTGATATTTTAGTAAATATCTCTAATGCATTACATAACGTTACACATATTATTACTGCTTTTATAGCCTTGTTGGCTTGGTTATAAAAGTGTACTTACTGCTTCGATACATTGCAGACCTTTTTTTATTCTGCAATACAGAACCAGAAGAAACTTTCAGAGGAACCTCTCCTAAATCCTGGTTATGTTTATAAAGCCCTACTCCTCCTTGAAACAACCTGAACTGTAACTGTATGTTAATTATAAAGTAATAGAAGAAGTATTCAGATACTTTCTAGCAATACCAGATTACATTGCTTAAAGGTAGGGTAGTAGGTAATTCACTTCAGAAACACTTTTTGTTATATTCCATGGAATACTCTTAACATCCCGATAGCAATGAATACATTAAATGCTTTGACAATAAATACATACAAATATTTCATCTGTGGAAGCCGTGGCGCTGTAAAAAGCTAGTCCAATTATCTGCCCCGGCCCGCGGCAGATAATTGGATGGCCTACCTGCCTGTCAGCCTTCCATCTCGTGCACAAACTTATCTCGTGCCCTCATTGGTCATGTGCGGGTTTGTGTGTGTTGGAGGAGGGGCTCTGTAAGGAAGTCTGAAGGAAGGGGCAGATTTTTTTCGGTTGTGTACTTTCAAATTCTAGCTTACTCAAACTGGTTTCTCCATTCTTACCTACCCTACCTTTAAGTGCTGTATTTTCAATTCCCCCTCAGATAAGTTAGTGTCCTACCTGTGGCTGCGCAGGTTAAGAGCAGGCTGTGCAATAATGGCCATGGATGTTGACATTCGATATAATGTTCCTACTGCTGTTAAGCCAGACGCTGAACCCCAACATCTTCTGATGGTTCAGCAAGCCACCTGCCTGGTAGCTCCGCCGGTATCTGTGTGTGTGAAAGTGAGGGAAGGGGTTTGATTAAAGTGTTATAAATGCATTCCAGTCCATATTATCAGCAAGATATTTTTAATAATTAGTAGGTACTGATTAAACAGAATGGTCCATATTTACAGGTGTAAAACAATGAAGAAAAATCAGATAAAATCCAAAGAAAAATAAGTGCATCCTATTGGTCAGTGTAGTAATAACATCTGGAATGGATTTAAAGTCATAATCACATGTCAGAAAATCATTTTACAATCAAGAAACTGCTGAATTTGCATAACAATATCCAAAAGAAAAACATATGAATCCAATAAAAAGAGGTGTGTTCCTATTCTCCGGTACAGTTATACAATTTTGCATTGATATCAAGTCTTTACATGACATTGAATCTTTGGAAAATAAGTTTGAGTTTTCCAGAAGACACTGCTGAACGTTCATAACATCATGTAAAATAGAAGAGGCACTAAAGTCCAGTTTGTCCTGCTTGTCCAGTGTATTCACCTCACCAATAACTCAGAGCAGACTCTTTCGTCCTAGCTCCACAACTACATTACACCAACGACTCAATATCCCAGAATGCATTACCGAGCGGAAACGCTAAGGACTCCATGGAAACGGCAGACTGGCGTGCTAGCTTGGGAAAGAAAAAAACAGTAGCTAGCTAGTTAGCATTGAATCTGGGTCCAGATTTTGCCTTTCTGCAAACATGAGCCGCACACCCGATGCCAGAGTGAGGTAAGGGACACACTGTACCAGCTGACTGCTCCGGTAACGGCTGGTAACCTAACCTTAACGCATAAACAACCTCGCAGAACAGCGAGGAAGAACATAGGTTAGCTAGCTGTTATTTAACTCCTGCTTTCACGATTTACATTTATAAAGATATATCCGCAACTGATTCAACTGTTGATCATCAGTAGTGTAAACACAAGACTCCTTTAGTGGTTATGATCACAAACACGGATTGTTTTCTTTTCAGCCACAAACCGCTAAAACGGATTTCCGTTTACATTCCTCAAAATAAGCTCCCATTTAGAAACACCTTCATAAAACAGTACTTACACTAGCTGGTTGTTAATACAACTGTTTTACAACCATCTCCTAAATTACTATATGTCAATGACGAGGAAATAATAGGTGTTATAAAATAATCTGGAAAGAAAAGCACACAGGAGGTTTTTCCTATGGATGGCCTGCTTCACTTGCATGTAACAGGGGCCGGTGACTCCCAGGGGGTCCTCAGAATTACTACAGGGGTGGCTAAACTATTGTTATATCATGTATTTTATTATTTTTAAAAAGCTCATAACAGTAGCAGAAATCCAAACATATTGTTAGAAAATAACAAAGGAACAGTTCATTTACACAACACTGATGATGAACTGTTGCCCATAAATCCGCAGGCTAAATGCTATTCATAACAGCGAGGAAAATAAGCTACAGCTTCACATTTGTATTATTCTTTTAATAGGTTAGCATGGTACACACCTTAAAAAATATACCTTTATTTTTGAAACTTTAGGCCACATACACGTAAAAGAAGGCCCAGTATAAATAAGCAAATCAATTGTATACATATCTAGGATGTCCCACTCCCTGCTGTCTGTCTTTGATCTGAGACCCCCTGACCAATATTACAAGATCAAAAGTCATTCTAATTTCTTCCCAGCACAAATATGTTGGACAAATTCACTTCTGTGTCCCCTTCACTGTTTGATCACTGCTGTCAGCCTGTAAATGTTGTCTTTTTCTCTCTCCAGAGACAACCAGACAAGAAAGATCCAGGAAAACATCACCAATGTGGAGAAACATTTTGGAGAGATGTGCCAACTGTTTTCCGCATATGTCCGTAAAACAGCCAGGTTACGGGACAAGTCAGATGTCCTGGTTCGGGAAATTGGCCTGTATGCAGACACAGAAACACCAGATCTGAAGAGGGGTATGAAGCAGTTTGCAGACCACATGGCCAAGATCCAAGACTACCGCCAAGCTGAGGTAAAACCAGAATGCATTTCTTACTGCAAGTCTCAGTTTGTTTGATAAGACCGAACCTAACGTGAAGTAACTTGCATTACAGGTGGAAAGACTTGAATCCAAAGTCATAGAGCCATTAAAAGCTATGGAGCTGTAGTGAAGCGTAAAAGGGTAAGTGTTGCTGCCATGTTGACGTCTACACTTGATTCCAAATGACAATGAAAAAGCTCAATGAGTTACAACTATTGCTAAAATAAGAACAATTTCACTTCCAGGAGAAGCTAACAACTATTACTACTATAATTGTTGTACTGTGAATGCCAAACTTCTCTAGATATATTAACCTGTTGAGCAATTTGTCATAGCACTGGTGTTACTTTTCTGGCTTATCCTTGCTTGTTGTTGAGATATCACATTTTAAACACAGTTACAAATTAATCGGACCAGACAGAATATGGACGAGAGACTCAAAGACGGTGTTGGAATTGGTGAAAACGTTTGCCATGTACCCCTCTCCATATAGTGCCATAACTTTGGTCCCAGCTCCAAAAATACTGAAGCTTATTACAGAGCATGTTTCAATACTAAATGCCTGCTGACCTGCAAGGATGTCTGAGGGAAAAATGAGAATGAGGGCTGAGGGGGGCAGTTTGGACATTTTACTGTCAGTATCATTACCACTGCATGCCCACATGAGGGCAGTGTTGATTTAATGATTTAATGGGCCCTCTGCCTGCCTTTTGTGCCATTGAACCTCACAGGTTCATGTTATAACCAGGATTAAAGGAAATATTTTACTCAAATAATAGCATGTCCATTATGCCTTTGGGACTTTTTTAATAAATCAATGTATTTTAGCTATAAGTTATATCTTATCATTCGTCCATTGAGATAACTTAAACTTTTTGTAATAAATCAAATACTTTTCAATCTGCATATTTAGCACAATTTATAGTATGTGGCAAAAAACACATAATTACACCTAACTGGCTAAGTCATAAAAAAGTGAAATTGGCTTCTCTGCTAATACACTATCTCATCCTTCAATAGCAACTGTTTCATGGTAAAGAGAACACAAAAGCCTGCACTCCAGGGTTTACTCGAGGTCTTGGTCTGGAAACACATAACGTTTGTTAGATGATGTCCTGGAACACATTTATAAATAATCTACATTCATTGTTCATTTTCATAATGACTACTTTGTCCTTGTGTGCTTGTGCATCCATGCAGGAGGATCTGAAGGCGACTCAGAGTGCCAGAGACAGAGAAGCCAAACAGATGGCTCAGCTCGAGAGGACCAGACAGAGGAACCCCTCCGACAGGCAGATCATTGTATCCTTGTTTCATATTTCCCTAATATCAAACACAGAGAGACTTCTGATATTATAACAGCCACCCGTGTACATTTTAGTGCAGGCGACATCTTTCGATACAGCTTCATTCCTTGTTGGTTATAGATCAATCTATGTTGCAACAGGAAAATACACTTTAATCTGCTTTTAATGTTAATCTTTTCAAACTTTTTTCCTTGACCAAGCCTTCAGTCTCAGGTTTGTCCCATGTTATCTGTGCATCTCATCGCTGGTGATGTATGACAAAAAGGAGAAACACATTACTGAATAACAAATATGTTCCTTTTTAATATGATGTGACTCGCATTATGAAAATAGCTTAGCTTGACACACTCTCATACTCTCTGCAGTGTCTCTATTGTCACATAAGTTATGTTAATGCCAACCTGCAGCACCTATAGGACCCATATGTGACGGCAGCAGCTTTTCTCTTCTATCTTTATTGTCTAGGTGTTACATTTCTTGTCTAGAGGAGACATAAGAGTCAAACTAGCAGAAGGTTTTACATCCTCTTCCTGTTTAGAGACCATTAGCATGTCAATATCTGAATTTGCATGTGGGACAGGAACTACAGGTGTTAGACTTCTATTACTGCAGCTCTGATATTGGCCAAGTTATTAACAAGTATTTATTTTTTCTAATTGAGCAAATTAACAAGCATAAAGGGATATTGTTCATGTATATATTTAAGCACACTGTTGCCATAACCTCCTGTGTTGGTCTGATGTGTGTTGCAGCATGTTGTATATTGACTTGTTCCCCCATCAGGCTGAAAGTGAGCTCCAGAGAGCCACCATGGATGCCACACGGACCACCAGGCAGCTTGAGGAGACCATAGACGAGTTTGAGAGGCAGAAGATCCGGGACATCAAGGTCCGCTTCACAGAGCTCAAATTAAGAATCACGATTTCAACAGTTGGAATATTTGTCTGTTGAAGCAGTGGGTGGCAGTGAAGTGAAACCAGACAGTGATGATATGGACGGTCTTTTTCTTTTCACACCTGCCCACACATTTAATCCTCCTTCAGTTTTCCAACAATTTGTATTTTGTCATTTCAGAACTTATTCATGTCTAGTAGGTAGTTGTGATTCATTTGAGTAGTTCAGAAGCCTACTCAGTACTGATATTTATCCTTATATTTCCCTTTGTAGAAAATCTTTGGCGAGTTTGTGACAGTGGAGATGTCCTTCCATGCCAAGGCCTTGGAGGTGTACACCTTGGCCTTCCAGAGCATTCAAAGTGTGGACGAAGAGCAGGACCTGGAGGTGAGCTCATGCTCTGTTTAACAGTAGCCCAGTCATTATAATTAGTTTGCAAAGAAAATGTGAATTTAGATGTTACTATTGTCCTTACAAAATCATTACAGTGCTACTCACAGAGAAAAGGGATCTATAATTAAATGTGTCAGCTATAGAGTGTTTGTTCAGTCGGATAATCTCCACATATCTACCCTACTTTTATAATTTTCTAATCGTAAATCTATCGATTAGATTTATCATTCGAAAATTATAAAAAGTAGGGTAGACATGTGGAAATTATCCGACTGAACAAACCGTGATCCGTTCTCTTAAATGTGTGTCAACCACAGACCTTATTTCAAGCTATTTTCCAAATCCTATGGAGAAATTGCATTGCTTTTTTGTCGAAGGAACCCATGCACAGCTTACTTCCGGGTTTTAGGACGCGTCACTGTGGCAGTCTATTGTGCACCTGATAAACCTGATGGGTATATTTAACAAGTCAAGGCTATCATGATATTATTCACCCATTACTCATTAACCCATTGCTCATACACACTTTAGTCCACACCCTTTTAACTCAAGTGGTAACTTTAAAGTGAACTCTCCATGATTCAGTCATAGCGAGCTTTTTTCTGTTTACATTTTATTTTCTGTGACGTTTGTTATTACTAGACAAAGCCTGTAGTAAGGAAACAAAGGATCAATGATATTCGGTGAGCGAAGTTAATCCTGTAGATGTCCTTTTGCTATTTCTATCCACCCATTGCCATCTCATCTGTGTGTTTTTGCACTGAATCATCTCCCTTCCATTCATAGTGAAGCGAAACTCCTCACCCAGACAAGGCTGTTTTTCAATGAGTCATAGCACAAAGCATGGGAGATTGAATCATCTGAAAATGGCACAATGACAGGCATGAAGATAATCATGATCTAGACTTCTTTTGGAATTTATCTTTGGCATAGTTGAAGAGGCAGTTTGCCGTGTTATCTGAGGCATACCTTTTTGAGCCACTTTATTTATGCTTGATCAAAGAAAGATTGTAATTTGTTGATTTTTTAGGGATATTCCAGGTGTGTAGACATGATGTGTTTTTGCACATTTTATTTAACTGTGAAGAAAAGACAGTTTTTTCTTTTCTTTTCATGATTATGTTGCATTGCATTAAGAGAGCAAGAGTGTGTAGGCATTGCTTCCATTCTCCTGTTTTCTTTGGAAAAATATAGCGCCTACTGTCTTTGGCAGGTGTTCAGGAGTTCGCTGCACCCCCCTGACTACCAGTCACGCTTAGACATAGTGCGAGCTAATTCCAAAACCTCCCTCGATCGGACCGGGTCCTTCCTGAGTACTTCAGGGACCTTACAGGTAAGATACAGACAGTGCATAGACGCTCTCATACACAAATTCCCCCAGGAAGTTTCTGTTATGGCATTACTTTTTTTTTTTTTTTAAGATTTGACAGTTGCATTATTTTCATTGTGATGATGAAATAAAAGAATTCCCTACTCAGCCCAATAGTTTTCCTCATACCAGTCGAGGCTGGTGCCAGGGTTCATACTGTATGCAGCATCATCCCAGCCACCATTCATTTAGAACCTCCACACGTCATGGCATGCCAGCAACATCCTGCATTTCCTCCTACATCTACAGTTTACCCCAGTATCTCAACAGTGTTGCTGCACTGTTCTACTTCAGGTCTCATAGTGTGATTTCAGACATTATATCTTGTATCTAGAGATGTAAAGATTGCAGCTTGCAGAGACATATTGCAATTCTCCAATGTAATCGGAATGTGCCCTGAATGCATCTTGCACCACAACTCGAGATCATCTTTTGCTTCCATGATTAAGGTGAATGTATTATGTAGGAATTTGCAGTTGCTGCTAAACAACAAACACGGTTGCAGTCGGGTACACAGCACAGAGAGAAAAGTGGATTGGAGACCCTGTTTGTATGTAGAAATACAAATCTTTTAAAACTTGACAAAACTAGAAGTATTGTTTTTTGATTATACACGTGCCTTGCTAGAAACAATTAAAAACATTGAAGTATTCATTTTGTGCAATAAACCCAGACAGGTTGATGCAGGATGCAAAGTGGACAAATATTGACCTACTGGTGGGACAATATTTATATTAATTCAAAAAGGATCGTAATGCTTCTGTTTAAGAACAGCGTCAATAGCAGAGGTCTGTTATTCAGAAATAACCGACTGTGGAATGCCATAATTGACCAATAAAAATGTAGTATTTGGGTAAATCAGAGCTCTTAAGAGGCAGAGCGATGGGCAAAGAAACGTCCAGAAACACAGCAAACATTTCAAATAGAATCCAGGCAGAGGGCAGCAGGGTCTCTGCAGACACTATCAGTTCTAGTGGGTCATAAAAAAGTCCTATTCTTTTAATGACTACCTACTAAATGTTTTAGTAACATCTTGACTGTTAATTTGTTGTCACAGCAACAAAGGGATTGCAGTCGACAGACAAGAAGAGAGGAGGAGGATGATGATGACGAAGAGGATGAGGATGATTCTGAAGAGGAGGAAGAGGAGGACGAAGACACAGATGATGATCATTGATTTGTTGTATTGTTTTATCTTGTTTGTTTGAAAGTGTATTATTGTGTCATTGCCAAAATCATTTCACACAGTGAGTCTGAGCAGTATTGTAGTGCACGACGTGTGTTGTAGTTGTTCATTAGGAACACATTGTCCTTTACTAACATTTGTCTTTTAAATCCCAGCCAATTATTGTCTTATGTATTTTTATATAACACATGCTGAAATGTACATTACATATTTAGTTGTACTGGAACTATCAGTGCACCATGTAATTCGTCTTCATGAATTAAAAAAAGAATCAGTTTTCACATTGTGCGTTTTGTTCCCAGTGAATTGCCACTCTATAATAAGTACATGGTGTTCCCTTACTCACTTTGCATAGAAAGGGCAGCAGATATTGTTATTTGAGAAATTGTACAGAGTGTGAATCAGCCTAAGTGACAGTAGTTCTGCAGTAGAAAGTGAGTCATCTCTTCCACAGATATGCAAGAGTTGTGCGAGTGCAGCTGGGGACATTTTGCACCCATCAATGTGTTAAACAGGATATAATATATATGTAATTTTTGTGTGTGTGTGTGTTGTGTGTGGTGTGTGTGTGTGTGTGTGTGGTGTGTGTGGTGTGTGTGTGTGTGTGTGTGTGTGTTGTGTGTGTGTGTGTGTGTGTGTGTGTGTTGTGTGTGTGTGTGTGTGTGTGTGTGCTGTGTGTGTGTGTGTGTGTGTGTGTGTGTGTGTTGTGTGTGTGTGTGTGTGTGTGTGTGTGTGTGTGTGTGTGTGTGTGTGTGTGTGCGCGCAGAACAGCATGTGTTGTCTACCACAGTGTCGGCTGATGGCTCCTATGTCTGTCTCGCATGAGTCACTCAACACATTTATCCTTCCTCATCTGCCTGGGCCATTTCCTGCACATCAACACACACATTACAGGTTTTTTTCAATAGTATAAGTTGGAGAAAAAAAACACTAACCTTTACAGACATTCACAAATTCATGTAGACTTTGTGCATGCAACTACATTTTCAACTAATATAACGTCCCTTACAGCGACACGTATTATCTCAGTGACTGTGAGATAAAAGCAGCGTAGGTGGTGTGTCATTAGCCCTCTGCGAACAGCACCTTAATGCATATAAAGGTTCATGTGTACGCAAACACGTCACACACCAGTTTTACTTTGGTATACTGTGCATCTAAACGGCCCGTGTTGCAATGACTCATCCCTTATAAAGTGTGTGTTTGTGTGAGTCAGAAAGCTTTTTCCAATCGCAGATAAACCTAAAGGCTCCACTCCCTGATCACTGAGCAGAAGAATGCACGGTGACGGGTTCGAGAAGAAAAGCATATGAAAGAGAAAAAAGCATGTGAGGCCAGTGATAAAACAAAAAGACCAATCCTCAGGTTAGCAAAGAGTCAAAGGTACAAAAGGAGGCAATAGTCGGTTATGAGTCATTGACTGTAAAAAACAAAGGCTGAAAAACAAACAAGGATATCCAAGCTTAGAACCAGATGGGAAGAGAAAGGAGAAAAGAGTGACAGTTGAGAGAGGTCAGTCCTAACCCCAGGTCCTTATCGCTGACAGTGACTCATTGCCCCTCAGCGTCACGCCACTTCCATCAAATCAAACACCCAGGGCACACGTCAACCGCCGCACAGCCTCATGCAGCTGCTTTCATATGCAGCACCTTTCCCTTGAGCCTCACACTGATCTTGCTAGAAGCCCTCGAGTGCCACAGGTTTCTTGTTTATCAAACTGCTGGTACCTTCCAACACGATTGTGCAGATTTCTTCCATAACCACAAATTGTGAAATCAGCACAGTAAAAGAAACAAGCAAACAATAAAAACATGGTTTTTTTCTCTTGGGATTGAAAATGTTGTGGAAGTTCCCCTGAGTCACCACCAGAGGGTAATGTTTAAAGCTTTTATTACATCGGCTACTTGAGGAAGTGCTGATATGGAAACATTGTGTTCTTTTCAACCTGTAGATAGCTGGTGCGTGCGTGTGTCACCTGTTACCTCTCTAAAGGAAGCAGACTAATTGTACGTCCGGATATGTAATGTAAGCAACTTAAACTTTATGGAATTGTCTTGGCCTCCGCCCTCATGACAGTGCAGTTTTTGCTCCTGTTGATCCCTATCAAAACAATAACATTGTTGGTCAGAGCCAATGTGTTTTGCAAATTGAGCACAAGGAAACAAGTGGGGATTTGATATTCCTTCTCAAACAGACATATAAACTTGTGTGACATTTCAATTACACACACCTTTCCATGTTTTCCTCCACCTAAAGCTGCACAGTCTCCTGAGAGAAAGTATAGGGGATGATTCATAGGTCAAATCTAATGGAGTCAGTATCTGTGGTGCAGAATTCTATGATTGGCTCTCCTATAGATATGTCTTACAAAGTGGTAAGGATTCCCTCCTCTCCCCATCTGACTCATCTGCCAACACACTCTCACTCACATCTGCAGTCATCCCCAATGACGGGCGCACATCTGTGTGTGTGTGTGTGTGTGTGTGTGTGTGTGTGTGTGTGTGTGTGAACAAAGAGAACAGGCATGAAAGTGAGTGTTTTGTTTGTATATGTGTGCATATAAATCCTGAATATCTGTGTGCAGGCGTATTTGGCTAAAGGAAATATTGTGTGTGTGTGTGTGTGTGTGTGTGTGCGCGCAAGTACATTATAGTGTATGCTGATGTTGAAATATTTGCATGTGATCCTCAGAGTCCTTCAGTACAGTTGTGTGGAATATTAAATACAGTGCCGTGCTGGCGGCTGTTATAAAAAATCGAGAGGCAGCATAGCCGGAGTGTGACTCACACACTGACTCACTGACAGCGCTGCCTTGGCGTGTGTATGTTTTTGTGTGTGTATGTTTTGTGTGTGTGTGTGTGTGTGTGTGTGTGTGTGGTGTGTGTGTGTGTGTGTGTGTGTGTGTGTGTGTGTGTGTCTCACCCTCTGTGGTTCCTCTGGCAGACGCGCTGTGTGGTGTTCTAAGATCTCTGAACCCTACCACAATCCCTGGATTTCACACCAGCAAACAATGTAACATATGTGTGTGTGTGTTTTAGAGAATTTCTTCCCAAGAAAACCTATGTGTTGTGTGTGTGCAAAGGTTCAGCAAAGGATCAACTCATGCACCGATAGCTCCCAACTAATTTAATTTAACAGCGCAACGTTTTGATCTTAGTAGAATCTTCATCAGGTATTGTCAAATAAATCATCACTAATCTGAACTAGCAATAAATGTAGACACAAACAACTTCATCACTCAGGTGGTTGTAATGCAAGTCAATCTACTCTCAGGCTGGACCAATCAGAGCAGAGCTTTGTCTGATACACCCACACAGGGCACAACAGGGCAAAAGTTCAGAAAAACTCTAAGATAAATACTTTCCAACAACATATTACATCTATGACATCACAAAGAATGACTGCAATACATGAATCACATAACTCATCCAAAAAGATAATTGATCATAGGTTATAGTTATTTATAATAGTTCAGAGAAAATGGAAAGTAGAAATATGATAATAAGTAACTTGCCCTGCAGGGTTTAAATGACAAAAGCAAATACAAACTTACAGGCAAATTAAATCAAGCAAAAATAAATACTATTTAAAGTGCCTTCAGTAGAGATCTGCACCAGGTGAGTCTCCTTCTCCCCTCCCAACAAGAACAGTTGAATGTCATTCAATCGTCCCTCCGGGATACTTACAGTCAACAAGGCAGTCAAAATAAGAGAAATGGGAATAAAACGTTTATTGAGCTTTACTTTAGTGGATCATCATTACATATCAGGTAAGGACACACGCTTCAAAATGAGACGAAACTTTTCCTGATTTCAATCTTTGGCTTCAAACTGTGCCTGCCAATCCATCCCGCCCCATGGCTGTTGTTAATGCTGTCAAAATAATCTGCTTTCAAAGAAAGTGTGTGTGTGTGTGTGTGTGTGTGTGTGTGTGTGTGTGTGTGTGTGTGTGTGTGTGTGTGTGTGTGTGTGCGCATCTGTGTGTGAGAGAGACATCTAATAAAAAGTATACCTTTGATGCCTGGGCAAATCACTTTTTTTGTTATGGTTTAATACCTGTTTTTCTTAATTGCCTAACAAAAACATATAAAATAAAGGGTTAATTTGTGTTGATGTCTAAGACCCCGTCCACATGGAGACGAAACAGAGACGAAAACAAAAACTAATCGAATTCGATATCAAAAAAGTCTTCCGTCCACACGGAATCGGCTCAAGAAACGTGTCCGTACACACGAGACCGCTCGACCCGCTGGAGACGCTGTAGTACATATGCCGGGCCTGTAAGTGGCGCTGTACTTCCGCCACAAAATACACCAAAAGCAGCGAATAAGACCCCCCGAGCATGGTTGCCTGGTTGCCCTTCTGTTTATTCTCTCCATGTCCACTTGTTGCTGATGGTTGTGGTAGAGGAGCTGTAGATTTTGCACTAACATCTGTATCATGGTCAGTAGCGTCTGGAGCACGAAAGCAACCCTGTGATCCGCCATTGTTGTTGTTGTTGTTGTTGGCGAAACACATCAGCAATGACGCGGGTGACGGGGGGGGGTGAGCAGCAGAGGTGGGGAGAGGCAGGGCTATGGCGTCATCGTTATCAGGAAATGATCGTATAGGACGTACACACGGAGCCGCAAGCGTTTCGTCCGCAGATCTACCCACCTTGGGAGCCGTTATCGTTATCGTTATCCGCGTTTCCGTGTCGGCCTCGTGTAACCGTCTATACCAGGGGTTCCCAAAGTGGAACCCCTGGACCTGCTTGGATTTCAGTCGAGAGGGAATACCCACAGCTTTCCAAGGCCGAGATGGACGTTCTGACGCCGTTTGGCTCGCACATACCTGTGCGAAAAGACTTTCTCGGCACTGACATATATAAAAAATAAATGCAGATCGCGTCTAAACGTGGAGGATGATCTCCGAGTGGCCGTCTCGAAAATTAAGCCCAGGATGGACTTGCTGTGCTCCATGCATATTGCCCACCCGTCTCATTAGGTGAGATTAACGCTGAAACAAAGCCTACGTATTCCCCAAATGTAAATTTGCACCGCAACAATGTTCATACGTTTACTAGAGTTTATGTCTTTAAAGTTTGTACCGCAACAATGTTCACTCCTAAGTTACATGGAGATTACTTTGACTCACGAGTTCTGCTGTTGTTAAATTGCTATATGTAAAATCATATCATGGTTGTCAGGCTGTTCTGTTCTTGTGTGTTGTCGTTATGCGTGTGTTTGGATACGCCTATTAGTGCGTGCGTCCTGTGCACACGTTTTTTTTAATGTTTCAGT